CCAGATTCGAACCGGTCGTCCAAGTCAGGCGACTCGCGAAGAAGAGCCTCAGCCAGGAGCAAAATGTCTGAGCATGAAGGCACTGAAGCATCATCGAGGAGACGAGATGCAAGTGCCTCCGCAGAGAGCGTGGCAGGTGCAGCAAAATCTGGAATCTGGAGGGGCATCAGACCCCGCTGTGACAAAAGCAGAGTCAAGGTGCGCCCCAAGCCTCAATGCATGGTCTAGTCAATGCGGAGCCGATGCATGGTCCGCTGCACGATGCGGCTTGCCACACGGTGTGTTGTTGCCCATGAGGATCGGGCAGAGGTGTGAGAATCGGCAAGACTTATTGCGACACTTGTCAGTGTGGAAGCGTATGCAGGGTCCCTTACCCTCAACGGTGCGAGCCCAAGAATCTGGCCAGGACTTGAGGGAGACCTTAGGAGCAGCGTCCTTCTTGGATGTAGCTTTAGCCTTAGCCTTAGCAGGACGGGCCTGCTTGTGCGGCGGGGGAGGCGGCAAGGCAGGCTGTTTGCGCTTGTTGGCCCCCGATGCAGCAGGAGGTGCAGGTGGAGTAAGGGGCTTCAGCCTCGGGGCCAACGCACTGTAGACATCCGGACGAGCAAAAATCATCTCCGCCAAAGCATCCGTAAGTGACCAGCCCTGGTCCGCTTGAATGGATGCAACCCCTAACCAGAGAGCACGGTCAGCCTCCACGATCTCCTGGAGTGACGGAGGGCGCATGTTGCGATCCGAGGGCGTGGCCAATGCAATGCTGAGGAACTTCTCCGCGGCTTTCCGGAGATGCAGGAGATGAGCCCCATCATTCAGAGCAATGGCGTACATGAGGAGATCCCAGAAACGGCGCACAATCGGCTCTACTGGGCCTGATTGCGGGATCGACGCAATGCACTCTTCTTCGGGCTGACCCTCTCGCAGGAGGCGAGTCAGCAATTTTGCGTCTGTCCGAGGCCGACGACGCTCAAGGAATTGCTCCTCATCTGATGCAGAGGAACGCAGCCTCCAGGGGATCCAGGAGAACCGTCCAGCGTCCAAATGTTCGCGCACAACCATGAGAAAAGGAGATGAAGGCATAATATCCGCCCGAACGAGTTCCGATGGATAGGCCTTCATGAATTTTTGCATCAACTCCGCAATCTCCTCCTTGGACAGCGATTTCTTGCCAGAGGCAGTTGGCACAATGGAGGCGGGAGTGGAGGGGCCAATCCCGGCACACTCGGTTTTGCAGAGGTGGTATAATCGCCGAAGAGCCGCAGCATCTGCCGTGAGCAGAGGCGCCGATGGATCAGACCCAAGAGGACGACCCACGATGGACACGATGAAGTGCTCAAGAGAGTCAGAATCGGGCACAGCAAAGGCAAGCAGGGCCATAGAGTTGAAGCCTTTGTCGACCAATGTATCCAACAATCCGGAAGAAAGAGACATGTCCTCGCATCTCTTCATCTCTTCTGAAAGAAAGCAGGGTCATCGTGACGAGGGGGAGCCGCCATGATACTTGCGATATACAAAGCTAGGGCAAGCGAGACCTGCACGGGCTTAAAAGCAAAGAAGGGCTGCGGCACGGGTATTGAATGCAACCAACCCGCAACACCTGGAGTGCAGCGTGCCCCTCCAGTATGAAAAACAAGATGCAGTTGTGCAGAGGGCAGTCGACAAGCAACATTTTGTGCCCCATGCAGAAGGCCTCACTCCTGAGACATGTACTGTGTGAGGGCAAATGCACTTAGGCAGTGAGCCCATGAAGCCTTGTCAGGGGCCTAAGTACAAGGCTGTGGCCACACAGCGACGCAGCTCACAAATGCCCAATGCAACTGCAAGCCAAATCTGCTGGTTGGAGAAAAAAAGCACCCGATGGTTGAAGGCAATGCTGCCCCAGGCCGCTTCCCAAATGGTGATCTCCTCCCGTGTGAGAATAGCTCTTTCGGTGCGCGTACTGAACCAAAGAATGTAATCGAGTCGAGGAACATGAAAATGCCACGGGCGGATGCGGATGACTGGTTGCCAGTCTGTGGCGGGAGCCTCCAGAAACAGCTCAATCTCAGATGAGAAGGATGTACTGGCTGACTCGCTGTCATAGCTGGAGAAACTGTCCATGACGGCCGCAGCAAACAATGAAGCCACGGCGGCGTCACAGGGACCTAAATGCAAGGCAGGAAGTCCTGTGAACCAGCACCCGGAACAGAGGCACAGCAGAAGATGTAGCAAGGCAGACAGCATCCAACTGCCAAATGCATGAGCACAAGCGTGAGCTCTTTCCACCACGAGGTGAGATGCAAAACACGTGAGCTCAGTCCAGAAGGCAGCCGCGCTTTAAGCACATGCGAAAGCCCTCCGGGACGAACTCAGAAAATTGAAGTGACTCGACACCTCGAACACTGCAGCCTGCACGCAAGGAAAGTTTAAGGTGCGGTACCTTGACCTGAAATGCAGGGTGAGACGTGCTGCATGGCTGAGCTTTATGAGCAATATGGGATACGCCATTCAGAAGAAAGAAGTATTCGTCAGCGTGACCCTGGACGTCCGTCCACTCCTCAGCCCCGCCTGAGGAAGATGCAGCGTCCTGAGGAATAGGCTCCAATGTCATGGACAATGCTTCCGTAACCGACTCCGGCAAGTCTTGAGTGGGTGGAGGCAATGGAATCGGAGAAGCCGACCGTGTATCCTCAGCCTCCGACTCCCTGGATGTATCATGCTCAGCCGGAGGTACCGGGTTGGAGCCGACTGGCGGCATATCCGAGGCACCTGGAACGCTAGGCAGAGCGACCTCGACGTCCACGGTAGGAGGAAGCCCTCCACGCAGACGGGGCCGGCGGGGACGAAAACCTTCGAGGACAGCCCCAACAACCTGGCGCTGAAACTCCAATGGACCGGCCACATCGTCACGTCCATAGAGATCCGACATGCCGGCCAGAGAAGAACGGTGATGTCCTTGCTGACGCTGCAGGTCTTCACGAATGAGAAGCTGCCGCCCATAGCTTAAGAAAGTAACCTTAAGCGAGTGGACCGGACCCCCAGCAGATCAGCCTCGGGGCGGGTCGATGCAGGCGTCTGCGAATAGCACGCAGAGAAAAGCTGCCGAAGGAGTACAATACCTTCCGACCGCGACATGGGTGCAAGAAATAATGGCTGGCTAGCATCGGCACCCAACCTGGCCAGAATGAAATCGGGTGTGAAGTTGGGATGCAGCATCGCAGTGGCTTGCAGTGAGACCTGCACAAGATGCAACCAGGCATGTGCCCATCCTTGAGCACCACGATGTATAAAACCACCGGCAAGAGCCCCAAACGGCATCGCCCGCCGGGTGGTTTTCGTTTTAAGGCACACGCCCAGAAGGCACTCCCCCGTGATGGACAAGCGCCCCGGTGGACACCATAATGCATCCGAGAAGCGGAGGGATGCAAAGACGCAAAGCAGAAAGGCCCCTGCAATGATCCGCTGCTGAGAAGAAAGTGATGTATCCAGAACCCGGCGCTCAAGACAAATGACAAAACTGAGGGGCAGAGGCGCACTCTCTCTGCGTTCCACAATGGAGCCAGATCTGCCGTAAGCTGACACGAGGTCCGAATGCAGAGCCGAACGTAGCGAGTCCAGCTGCGCCTTCCGGGAGATGAATCTCAAGGATTTGATCCATGTCGTCGCGGTTTGCAGCTTACCCCTGGAATTAGTTGCCAAAAAATCCAGGAGAAGGTCAATGGAAGGATCGTAAGGGTTGGCATTGCAAGCCGATGCAAACCTGAGCCAGTGTCGCCACTTCGATAAGTAGGCGGCCAGCGTCGATGGAGCGTAAGACGACACCATCTTAGCCAAATGCATATCGGCCTGTCCCGATTTCAAGACCTGAGGCAATGCAGAGCTATGCGGTGAAGCTAAGCGCGCGAGCCGCACCCACTCCGTAACCTGCTGTTGCAATGCAAGAGAGTAGGCTTGGTGCACTGCGCCGGGAGCCCCAATGTACGGCTTAGCTGGACAGGTCGGAGGAAAATCCTTGGAGTGCCCAGACCTCACATCGAGAGCAACCTCGGAAGAAGATGCAGGTGCCGCATACGATCCCAGCAAGGGCCTCTTTGGCATGAACGGCGGAACCTCGGAGACAGGCGATGAAGGGCGCTGCCACGCGAATCGTTTCTTGCGAGGAGGAACAAGCTCCTGCTGGGATGCATCTGCAGTACCGGGTTGGCCAAAGGCGCAACGAGGTGCATCATTGCACCACCTGTTGCGAGGAAGCATGCAGGCTGCAGCCTCCAGGATGGGATGCCAACAGGGTCTACAATCTGAAAGATTGTACCACCGCACAGCATCGAATGACAAAACTACCAACTGGAGCCACAGCAATGGAAAGCATGCATGCGGGACCGCGACTGACCTCCTACTCCCTGAAATGCAACAAGCAAGAACACAGCCGAAAGCATGCTCGAGCACAACGCCTGCTTTTTTGGACGTCAAAAAAGGCAGGATGCGGTGCATCGACTGTACCAAGCAAGGCCTTGGCCAATGCATAGCCCAAAGCTAGCCCCTCCGACCTTGAAATGAGGCTTCGAGGGAGTCAAGCGAGCGCACGATCGCGTCACAGCGAGATTCGAGGTGGCGCACGGCCAATGCAGAAATCCGCGGTTGGCCCATCAAAACGGCGGCTTGCTCGAGGCTGCCTGTAAAGACCTCACTGAGATCCAATGAAGGGCGTCCTGACCCCACCGATGCAGGCCTATCGCGTTCCTGAAGCAAGTGCAAGATACGGAGCAGCAAGCCCCGGTTAAATGCACAAGAGGAGCACGAATCACAGGGCGAGACGAGACGTCTGACCGACCTCGACCTGGAACGGTCCCTTGGTGGATCATTCGATGAAGCCATAGTCGAGAAAGTGCTCCGGGATGAAGCAATGCACCGATGACCTGAGCCGAAGGGAATCACCACACCCAAGGCAGCACATACAGAGGGAGAGACGCACGGCACCACAGGCCCGTCCCAGCCTCAGACAGCGGAGCCCCTGCAGAGATGGAAGGAACGTGCAACGCTGCACCACAGGCAACGGGCATACCGACCGAAATCCGAGCCTGAATGTGATGATAGCCGCGATGACGTACCTGCAACAAGATGCGAAGAAGCAGGGGAATGCAAGCAGACCAGACAGCCTGAGACGCGAAGGCCAGCGCAATCCTGCGGTGCCCATGAAATGCTTGCCACAGGTGCGGCAGGAAACCGACTGCACCACAGGCAGAAGGCAACCTAAAACTAAGTGCCAGGCCTCCGCAAAGGCGGGAGCAATCAAGTAGCCCCCCAAGCCGCCAGGACCCAAATGCTTCAGACAGGATGAACGCTGAACAAAGGCCAAGCGGCATGCAAAGTAAGGCTACAGGCGACAGCCGAACAAAAGTTGCATGGTAAGTACTGGATGCAAATGTATTTTGGCCGGGGAATGAATCCAGGCACCGTGCAGCAAAGGCGCATCACATCTCGTCATCCGAAGATGGAGGAGTGATGAAGTCGGGTGGACGCGGTTGGCAGCCCAATGCAACTGGTGTGATATGTACAGTGATGTGCGAGACCCGGTAGCTCGTAGTTTCATTAGAGCACCCCGGGTCCTCGCATGCCTCGAGTAGGTCCCTGAGGCACCGCCATGATGCAATATCAAAGAAGCACAGGGCTTCGCCGTGGATGCGCACACCAATCTCGATGATACGATCGGGTGGGCCCAATGCAGCAGGCACCTCACCAGCGGGCCGCGATGTAGTGGGAGGTGAGTCCTGATCCGACAGTGATGGAATTGACCAGCGACAAGCCGACAGCTCAGCTCGTCGAATGTCTTCCTCACTCGAGTCGCCGTCCATGATGTAGAGGTGGACCTGAGCAGCGAGCAAACAACACCAAAGAAGAACCCGTGCATAGAGCAAGAACCGCACCAACCTTCCAACGGGTACGTGCCCAATGCAAGCCCGAAAGGCGAGAAAAAAGGGCAGGACCTGAAGCCCCACCAGAAGCCAGTGGAGAACAAGCCCCAGCACCACAGGCGGAGGCTGAGACCCGGGCCAATAATGGCAATCCAAAGCCACGGCAGCTTGACCTGAAGAAAGCCATAAAGCCAATGCAACGACCGGAAGCGCAAGAGCCCCTGCACCACAGGCAGAGGCTGCGGCCCGAGCCGAGGATGGCAATGAAAACCCGCGTCCGCCGAGGCCCGATGCAACTAGTGGCAACTCGCACCACAGGCGAGGCCGCCGAGGCCCGTACGTGAGGAGAGCAGGGAAGCACTCACGGTGCCCGACCCGCCCGACCCCAAAGGTCTGAAGCATCAAAGAACGAGCAGACATGAGTGCAATGGTCCGGCGTCAAGAAATGCATGCAAAAATGCCGAGCTAGCCAGAGACAGAACTGCGCACAGGCTAACGGATGTTTTGCGAGGACTGCAGAGAAGAGCCGGAGGCCCGTGCGATCTCAAAATAATGCACGAGGCGGACCTGCATCACTGCGGCGGAGTGAGAGAAGCACTCAAAACGCAGTGTTGTCAGCCTCGGCCAATGAAATGCATGGCCGTCAGTACCACGTCCACTGACCGGCCCAGGAGTCCCACTCCCATCCTGACCCTTGATTGGAACTCCAGGAAGACGATGTAGGCTGCCAGTTGTCCCAAGAGCCCCCAGAGTCATTGGATGCATTGGGCGCCGTCGACGTGGAAGTTGATGCACCCGCCGATGTACCTGCTAGATGGAAGCTAGGAGCGTAGTGGGCCCCAAATGAAAAGTCAAAACGGAAAGCCGAGAGCAACAC